CATGTTAGTCTGATTGGTAACTTTAAATTGTCCCTAGGTGAGAGAGAATAGTTGTTTGTCTCATTTGTCTCTGTGTCCTGTGATGGACTGGAGACCTGTCCAGAGTAGAGTGTCCCCCGCCTCTCACAGTGATAGCTGGACATGGACACCAGTGACCCCGTGACCCGAAATGGATGAAGCAGGTCAAAGTTAATGGGTGGATAGATGGATAGATGAATGGATTATTCTGTCATTATTTGTTGTCACATCTAGGCATTGGTCAGTTTTTGGTTTCAAGATATACCTCATTTTTAGGAAAAAAGTTACAATGTATCAACTTCTATATATTTCTCTAATACAATTCCTGTAGTTTAAATTATTTTTAGAGAGATACCACAGACTGTTTGTTTTTTAGGTATGTCCTTTGATGAGCGTAAGAAAATCAGCAAATTGATGGAATCCAGAACTCTTAAGACAGGATAAATAAAACCTTTGATGAAGCTTGGAACTGTCAATATGAACGTTAACATCTCCCAGTAAAATAGCATTGGGTGATAGAACAGACAAGTGAGAGAGAAAGGCAGCAAAATCATTCAAAAAAATCATTGTGCGGTCTGGGGTGGGGTGGGGGGTGGGGGGGCAATAAACTGTATCTATGATGGTGGGAGTGAGTAGGTTCAGACGGTTTACAATGCATTGAGGGTGCAACTCCACCCCACGATACATTTGAATGAGCTGACAATAGGGACTGACACAGGCACAACTTTCCATTCTCGTGATGAACCACCACGACTGGAGCTGCGGGGTTGAGAGATGGAAACAAAGCCAGGTGAAGTGGCGTGATGAAGTTGGGGAAAGTCTATAGGTTTTTGCCAGGTTTCGGTCAGACAAAATGTCCTTTGTTCGTGAGAGAACCGATGGTGAACAGTGAAGCTGACAGAGGTGGAGTAATGTTTAGCAGATGGGTTAGCTGACTTAGATAAGCTGGCTAATGCACAGAGATCTGCAGACCAGGTGGATTTCCTTGGAGCTCGACGAGTCATATTCCAGAAGGGATAGTTTGAGTTTGACCTGTCGAGCTGGAAGTTCCTGTGAGACCCACTGTGGATAAATCTCCGATGGGTCAGGACTCAGGAGAACGATGTCCAGGTGGAAATGAAGGGTCACCAGTGGAGGATCAGACAGGTGCCAATGTAGCCAAACGAGCTCAGCAACCGTATATTGGAGCAAACCTGACACAGGTTGAGTGAGGAGTTGCAGGAGGGTCCATGCAAAAGCAAACCAGATGTAAAAGTTGCTGATCCACATTGCGCTGCAGCAGTCGGCAGAGGTTATGAAGCTGGTTGGTGTTGGACAGGTTAGGTCAAGCTGGCCCGATACACATGCACATGATCACCGTGGGTCAAAACTGGATTCATAGGCAGCAAAGGAAATTAACGGTTCATGAAGGTCCAATCAACTTTAAATCATAAGACGCTGAAGAACCGTTCAAATTTTGCCAGCGAGCAGCAGCAGCAGAATGTGCCAGTGTCCACTTAACCTACAATGCACTATACACATAGGCTTCGTCACTAGATGGAGTTTCACACTTTTCGTCAGCTTCAAGGTAAAGGTCACAAATCAAAGTTAAATGTTATACAACACTTCTGCTTGTCCAGGTCATTACTATAGATTACTGTAGATTAGTTTGTTGATGGACATATAATGTGCCGCATGCTGTACTCTTGGCTTTAATGATGCGACACGTTTATTGACACCATCAATGTAAAAATATTCCAAACTCAAATAAATCTGTGACAGATTTTTTTTTTCTTTACAAAAGCAACTGAGGGATTATAGATGAAATTATAGTGTTTTTTCTTTAACTTCAATTCAGTTTATTTATATAGCTCCAAATCACAACAAAGTTGTCTCAGGGCACTTTACTGTAAAGATTGAGGTTGGGTCAGAACCACAAGAATCCAGAGCGGTTTTAAAAGGTTTTATTAATAAGTAAAGAGCTGCCACTCTCGGCTGGTGTTGGTAGACAATGAACCGGAGCTGGGTCTTGTAAGGCTCAATGGGCCGGAGGCAGAGCGCTGAACAGCGCGGAAACGTCACCGAGGGGCGGTGTACATCGGTGGTCTTGGGTGGGCGATGCAGAGGCTGAGTCGTGGGCAGAAACAAGGTTGGCAACAGGATCTGATAAAGGCGACAGTACCAAAGAGCAAGGCAAAACTCGGAGTCCAAAAACAAACAAGTAACAGCAGCAAAAAGGCAGATGAGCAGAGGTACAAAAGGGCAAGCCAAAAATCAGAGGTCGATGGGGTGGCAGGAGACTGTGAACAGGATCATGATACAAGAGAGAAATGCTAGAAGATTACTCACCAAAGGCTTTCGATATTCTGGCACCAGACTGTGAGGGAGAGAAGCTTTTAAGCACCAGAGCACAGGTGTTTCCCATGAACACTAACGGGCTGCAGTGAGAGGAGATGTGACAGACAGAAAGCTGCAGATAGGAAGCAGAGCTGACAGAAACCAAATGAACATAGAGAAAACTAGAAACCAAGCAGTGAAAAGAGTGTTTTGGCAAAGATTAAAGTGTGCATCGTGACAGATCCCCACCTCAAGGCATGGCTCCAGACGTGCCACCTGGTTGGTCCGGATGCCGTCTGTGGAAGTCCTGGATGAGGCTCCGGTCCAGGATGTTGCGGGCTGGAACCCAAGAGCGCTCCTCCGGGCCGTATCCCTCCCAGTCTACTAGGTAGTGAAGACCACGCCCCCATCTCCTGCACCGGAGGAAGCGTCGCACTGACTAGGCGGGGGCCCCATCAATCAGACTGGCGGGAGGGGGGAATCAGGCGCTGAATGTAACTGGGACAGTGTAAATGACTTGATACGGGATACATGGAAAGATGGGTGAAATAGAAGTGACTTGGGAAGGCCAGGGCGAACAGAAACGGGATTGAAAACTTTGGATATGGGGAATGGACCAATAAATCGGGGGGCGAGTTTGCAAGACTCGAGCTTAAGGGGCAGGTCCTTGGTGGAGAGCCAATCCCTCTGACCTTCCTGATAAAGGGGTTGTTGAGACCTCCGTCGATTGGCCCCTTTAACGTAGGCTGTGGAGGTCTCCAGGAGGGCCTTCCTGGCTCTCTACCAGGTGCGTTTACAACGATGGGCTGACTTAAGGGCAGAGGGAACTCGAGTCTCGCGCTCCTGAAAAGAAAATGGGGTTGAAAACCAGATACAACAAAAAACGGGGACAGACCAGTGGCGGACGAGGGGACGGAGTTCAAAGCATGTTCCACCCAGGGGAGATTGGATGACTACTTACTGGGGTCTTTCTGAAAGAGGCCCCTCAACTTGGTCTCGACCTCCTGGTTGGCCCTCTCCATCTGGCTATCCGTTTGGGGATGGAACACAGACGAGAGACTGATGGATACCCCCAAGAGGTCGCAAAACTCCTTCCAGAACTTGGAAACAAACTGCGGGCCTCTGTCAGAAACTATAATGGTGGGCAGCCCGTGGAGTCGAAAGACTTCACGGGCCATGACAGAGGCGAGTTCTTTGGATGTTGGAAGTTAAGGAAGGGGGACCAAGTGAACCTGTTTGGAGAAACGATCAATGACAGTCAAAATAACAGTATTGCCAGCTGAGGGGGGGAGAGAAGCGTTTAAGCACCAGAGCACAGGTGTTTCCCATGAACACTAACGAGCTGCAGTGAGAGGAGGTGTGATAGAAAGAAAGCTGCAGATAGGAAGCAGAGCTGACAGAAACCAAATGAACGTTGAGAAAACTAGAAACCAAGCAGTGAAAAGAGTGTTTTAGCAAAGATTAAAGTGTGACATTTACAGGAACATTCATATACATAGAAAAGACAGTTAGTAAAGTTCTCTATCTAAGGAAGCAGCAGACTCGTTGAATCTTCACTTTGTCGCAGTCTCCCATCCTGAGCAAGCACAGTGGCAACAGTGGAAAGGAAAACTCCCGTTTAACAGGAAGAAACCTCCAGCAGAACCAGGCTCAGATGTTAAGATAGAAATAATTCCAAATGCAAACTACTCATTTGATGAATTGAGGTCAGTTTGTCCTCCAGCAGTCTAAGCCTATAGCAGCATAATTAAGGGCTAGGTCAGGAAACCAAGCTGACCCTAACTATAGGATTCATCAAAAATAAATTCTTAAGTCCTGTCTTAAAACTGGATAATGTGTCAGCCTCACGGACAGAAACTGGAAGTTGGTTCCACAAGAGAGGAGCCTGATAACTGAAAGATCTGCCTCCCATTCTGCTTTGGGAAACTCTAGGAACCACGAGTAAATCTGCAGTCTAAGAGCGAAGTGCTCTGTTAGTAAAATATACCATACCATACCATACCATACCAATTTATTTATATAGCACTTAAAACAGCAACAAGGCCAACCAAAGTGCTGTACAAAAGAACCAAACATGCACAGCCGACAGGAAAACATAAAATAGAAATACAGGTACAAATAGCAGCAGAAGCTAACTAAAATGGCCAACAGAGTAGAGAACAGACCGGACCAAAACAAATCACACCGTGTTAAAGGCAAGCGAATAGAAGTGGGTCTTCAAGCGAGACTTAAAGACTGAGAGTGTGGGAGCCTGCCGGACACTCAGTGGCAACTCATTCCACAGTCGTGGACCTGCAACAGAGAAAGCCCTGTCACCTCTGAGCTGAGCTATAAAATATGGAACAATAAGATCTGTAATATAAGATGGAGCTAGGTTGTTGAGAGCTTTGTAGGTTAGAAGTAAGTTTTTGAATTCTATTCTGGATTTGACAGGGAGCCAATGGAGAGAAGCTAAAACTGGAGAGAGATGATCTCTCCTATCATCTTTAAGTTGTCAGGATCTCATACCTGCTCATGCCTATTCCCTTCCATGCATTGTGTGTCTTTGTCTTGCATACTGTGTTTCTTTTCTCCTGCTCTTTTCCCTCACTTTGTGTTTCCTTGTCTCTCTTTTACTTACTATCCACTTCCTCCTATTAAAGCTTCCCAACTTTTTGGTCACCTAGCGACACTCCGCTGTACAACCTGGAGCCCTGCGAGCCTCTGCCGTTCGACGTTGGGCGTTTTCGTGGCCTCACCGCCTCACTGCTGTTGGACCTCACTTACTTGACCAGCATCCATGAGGAGACTGCTGCCAAGCTCTGTGCACGGCGCCATGAAAAGAAGCATCGCAATGCCGTCTCGTTGGGGCATGAGCTGACTGGTACCGAGGAGAAAGTGGATGGTGAGGGCCACAGTCGTAATGAACAGAAAGAGAACGGAGCTTTGGCTGCCACCTCTGACTTGCGAGTGTCTCACAGCCTAGAGGAGGTGAAATCACACCTGGCTCCCAACTCGAAGTCTGAAAGTGACATCTCCTCTGTAGCTGGCAATGGGAATGAAAGCCTTTTCACAACAGCTCCTCACAGTGCTGCTGAGGGCAACAGGAAGAAGGCTCACGAGCACGGCTCTCGCAGCCAAGAGCTGGTCTCCATCAGCACTCAGTCAGAGATCCACGCCGTGCAGCTGTCCTACCTATACCTGGGAGCCATGAAGACCCTGAGTGCTCTGTTGAGCTGCAGCAAGTACGCAGAGCTGCTCCTCATACCTAAGGTATGTTAGCTGTGACAACTGAGGAAGACTTTCAGTTCCTGCTTCTTACATTTTTACATAACGTTTGAGGGGTTTCCTGGTAGTTTTTGAAGTGACGTTTTATCAAATACTTATCAATAGTTTCCTTATCATCCATGATGTCAGTCACAGAGCACAGAGGATGGATGAAAGAAGAGAAGTCTTCCTCCATGCTAGGCTTTTGGCTAACTACCGGTAAATGAGAGCTGGATTGATACCATTTTGAAAGCAATATAGCATTAGTTAATACAAAACCTTTACCACAAAAACAAAAGGTTAATCGTGTCATCTGGACAGTTTCTTTTGGGGAGAAATGATGTCTGAGGCCTGCCAACAAGATCTGTTTTATAAATAGCACCTCACTGATGTGTAAACCTTTGCATGTTTGCACATCAGCACTTCTTTACTTTGTTGCTGTTCATTTCAACCAAACAAAGTCTGTTATCTTGTGAATATGTGTGCAGAGTTTGGGTGATTGTTCTGTTGAGAAAACAGCGACAGACTAAACAAATGGTGTCATGCTGTCGTTTCCTCTGCTGTATGACTGACATCATGGTTAAAATGGTACAAACTGGCTTTGCATCAAAGCTTTCAATGTGACAATAAAACAAATGTGTTGAATATGAAAGCTGATTAAAAAAATAGTTCTACCTTAGCCACCGTCAGTGCAGAATTCATTAGCCCCATCAGAGGTTTTTGTGATTGTTGCAGCCTAAACTAATTGATTTTTGGGGCAGCTTTCCATTATGTTGTGATCAAAGTTGCGTGTTTTAAAGATTCGTTTTTTCTAAAACAGCAAATCACACAAATAATTGTACAAAAACTACAAGTAACATTTTCTTATAGGGCACCAGATGTATATATTAGTTAGGTTTTAAGTTCAACCAGTCTGTTCAAGCGATCTTTATAACATTTTTAAAAGAAAATACAAAACAAAACAAATGGACTTTATTCTGTTGTTAAAATGTTTGCTTCCCATCAAGAGCACCCAGAAGAGCACTCCTCTGTTTTAAGAAGGAGCTTGCTGTCTCTGGTAAACCTGATGCTTCCAGCAGAGCTAATGTTTGGTAAAGGCCTCTACAACAATTTCCTGCAGGATCATGAAAGTTCTACATCATACTTCCTCAGCTCGGACTGTGACCCAGGTGTCGTCCACATACAGTGGTTGAACTAGAGGTTAATGGACTCTTTGATTCAAACAAATCAATTAAACATCTCTTGTCCTTTAAAGTTTGGAATATCACACTCTTCAATGTAGAATAAAGAAAGCTCTCATGGGATCTACTACAAAATAGAAGTCCAGTTTATTTGTTTTTTAATTTTGTTGGGGAATTTACTATGCTTGGGGGGGGGGGGGGGGGGGGGCTTAAGCAGTTGGTTAAATTTTTGTGAAAATTGTATTACCAGTAATTGTCCAATCTTTGAACTCTGAGGAAACTCTTCAGGGATTGGTTGTACTTGCATTACTTGTTAATAAGGGGCGGCTGTGGCTGAGTGGTTAGAACAGTTGTCCTCTGAGTTGGGGGTTCGATTCCACCAGCAGTCGCATGTTGAATTGTCCCTGGCCAAGACACTGAAGCCCTCACTGCCTCTGATGTTTGTCCCATTGGTGTATGAATGTGATCTAAATCTCTACAGATGTCTAGATCTCTACAAAGATAATCAGAGAGTGCTGTATGAATGTGTGTGTACTAGAGTCAGTGGCGGCTCATCAATAGAGGGTGCTAGGGTGCCGCCAACCCACTGAAACCACTCGCCATTTTACATTGAAGACTTGGAAAAATTTTAATAAAAATGAAATAAAATAAAAATATTTTGAAATATATATACAGGTCCTTCTCAAAAAATTAGCATATTGTGATAAAGGTCATTATTTTCCATAATGTAATGATAAAAATGAAACTTTCATATATTTCAGATTCATTGCACACCAACTGAAATATTTCAGATCTTTAATTGTTTTAATACTGATGATTATGGCATACAGCTCATGAAAACCCAAAATGCCTGTCCCAAAAAATGAGCATATCAGTCCAAGAAAGCCAACCTGCCATTTTTTACATCTTCTCGTGTGAACTTGATGTAATTATGTACTCTCTTGAAACTGTGCCTGCAGTCAACCTACTTCACATATGGGGAGCAATATTATAGGCAGAAACATGGGTGTGCTATGGGGTCTCCAGTTTCTCCTATTGTTGCCAACCTGTACATGGAGGAGGTAGAAAAGAGAGCCTTGACGTCCTTTTCAGGGACACCACCAAGTCATTGGTTCAGGTATGTTGACGACACCTGGGTTAAAATTAAATCTCAGGAAGTCCAACATTTTACTGACCACATCAACTCTGTGGATAAATACATCAAGTTCACACGAGAAGATGTAAAAAATGGCAGGTTGGCTTTCTTGGACTGTGAGGTCTCAGTCTCTGATAGAGGACATTTGCAAACCGAGGTGTACCGCAAACCCACCCACACAGACCAGTATTTGCAGTTTGACTCCCATCACCCTTTGGAGCACAACTTTGGAGTCATCAGGACTCTGTACCACAGAGCAGACAGCGTCCCCACTAGCTCGGGAGCCGGCAGAAGGAGAAATCCCACACAAGACGGGCTCTAGAGCCTGGGGAAAAGCGTGTAAATCAATTACAAAGCCTATTTTTATATTGCAGAAAAGAGTTGTAAGAATTATCACAAGAAAACATTATTATCATCCATCAAGTATTTTATTTAATCAAATGAAACTGTTGAAATTCTATGATTTGGTGGATTACAACATTTTGTCACTTATGTATAGAGCTCATACAAATACACTACCTTCTAATATTCAAATGTATTTTGTGAAAAGATCAAGCTGTTACAATCTTAAGGGGAAAGATGTTTTTGTAGAACCGCAGTTCAGAACTAGTTTAAAGGGAAGATCTACCTTAATTCAGGGTGTTGGTTTATGGAATGACTTAGAGACAGATATTAAGGAAGCCAAATCAATCTTGGTATTTAAGAAACTGGTAAAAATCAAATTGTTAAAAAAATATATATGAATGTAATTCATTGAAAATGTTTGTTAATTGAAAAATTAAGCGAGTTATTTATTTGTTTTTGTTACTTACAGTAAATGCTTGTTTGAATTGTTTGTTAGATAAATAAGGAGCAGACTTAATAAGATTTTATCTTCATCTGCTGCCTTTCATTTTATTTTATTTTTTGTTTTCAAATTACATACATGTAAATTGATATGTATTCTTATTATTATAAAATGAATAAATAAATAAATTAATAAATAAATGTGGATATCCTAACTGGGCCTTCCTGAAAGAAGAAACCCAAACAGGACTCCAGTCAGCCAACAGGTGAAAAGGAGGAACCCAGACCCAGACCAGTGGTCATTCCATATGTTGAGGGAGTATCAGAGAAACTGAGATGTTTATTTTCTAAACATAACGTCCCAGTGGCTTTTAAACCCCAAAATACATTAAAGACTGGTTCATCCCAAAGATCCAGTCCCCCGGCACAAACAGAGTAATGTTGTGTATGTTGTTCAGTGTCAGGAGGGTGATCAGTCTTACATAGGGGAAACTAAACAGCCACTGGTCAAAAGGATGGACCAGCACAGAAGATCAACGTGAGCTGGCTGTGAACCACCGGATCCGGAAACCCCCTCCAGCCCACGTCTTTACCCCCGGCTCGAACCTCCCTCAGAAGTGGCAACTATACTAATCAATAAATCAAGAAAACGTCAGTTAAGTTTTATCAATTATATTAGAAAAGGCAGGAAAAGAATACAATTTACAGCGCTGGACTCTTCGGTCTGCGATGCGTTCACAGACCCGGAAGAGCCTCGATGTCTCGTGTCATTACTCATTTATAGGGCCCTAGGCTCCTCCTTCACAGAAGGGGAGCTCAACCTGTCATGTATGAGGGGGCATGACTAAGTGTGATCTCAGTGGATCTTATGTGGACTGACGTGTTAGGAAATATGAGACAGTGCTTCAAAAAAACCTTTCTACGTGATGTGGCAGATCAAACTCTATTCCGTGACAGATATTGAATCCCAGGGAAACTCTTTTTAGAGTTTGATGGTCCAGTTTAACCCAGTCAGAATCAGGTCATAATTTTATTATAATCCCGTCTCTGAGCAGATCAAAACCATAGGACCAGTCTAGATTAAAAATATCCAACAACTCCCCCTGGGCAGGGGTCCCCGAAGGGGTTTCCCGCATAAAAACTCCCAGTTCAATACCGCCAGATAAGCAAACAATTAATCACTTTCCTCTGGTTGAATGTAAACTTCTCCTTATATGTTGGCGGGAGATGTCTACAGGCTATAGCGTCAGACCTGCCAGCCTCAGGTCACCTGACCCAGCCCTGGACATCTGTCTAGGACTTCAGCATCCCCTGGTGTGGTGCAATATGACATAATGGAAATTTCTAACATTTGTCTAAGTCTGAGCTCTAAATATATGATTTAATAATTGCAGGAGGCGTCCTAATTCAAGAAGCGTTCTTATCTAATAGATGTTCATCAGTTGTAGAACCTGAACTTCTCTTTTTGACTCAGAGGGCAGGCCTGGTCCACTTCGTCCATCTGGTAAAGAAAAATAGAAAAACTTTGTGCTCCCTTCAGTCAATACCCATTTTATTTGCACAGAGCGCTGCCGGTATTTTTAGCCTGTCACAGCAGAAAATGTGTTTGTTTAAATCAGATTTTATTCACACAATTAACGTGTTTTAACGTGCATATTGTATGTAAATAACAAACTACCAACTCCCCCGGTGATCTAATATAAAAACATTCCCAATTAACCAACAAATCAATTCACCCTTTCCACCACCCTTCAATTTAGTCCCAATTTAGATTGAAAAATGTCATAAGTTCACCCCCTGGAAAATCTATATTATAAAACCCCATTTTATGTATTTATCAAAATCCTCTGGTCTCTCGTCATGGCCCAGCTGTAAAAAATTTGTTATTTCATAGAAAACAATAT